GTACAAACTTCTGTTCCTTTCTGGCTCGTTTTTATTAAAGCAGGTGACGACGCCGGATGTCGAGAAGAAAATCGAGGAATACAAGCGAGAGAACGCCGGCATGTTTAGCTGGGAGATACGAGACAAGTTGTTGAAGGACGGCGTGTGTGATAGAAACACCGTGCCTTCAGGTAAGGCTCCCGGCGTCACCTCTCGCGTTCTCATTTCCTAACCCGAAACTCCTTCACGAAATCCGAAGGGGAACCCTTAGATCTAGGGAGTTTGGGTTCGGCACACCATCCTGCGCCCTTTTGATTTGGAATCGATTCCTGATCTGTGTTTAGCAGCCTTTTCTGGAAATGAACAGCAGTGAAATCAATAATCTGTTTGACTGTGCTAGAACTTTCCAAGTGGAGTTAATATCCCGCCCCAAATATACATCCTCTTCGACAGAGGCGCGCTGGCTTAGAGATCGTTCTTACTGCACTTACTTACCCAAGTCCTACTCATTACACCGATTGAATCTAGTTTTAGACGGCAAGTAAACACTTAACATAAATCTCATTGACTCAATCGGGCTACTCTAGTTGGGATTACCAATAGGATTCTGGCCACAGCATTATTTCCACTCCCGCCCCTTAACTTAGTGTGTTGGTACAGGCTGATCCTAAATCGATTTGTCTGGAAGCAAGCCTATTGACGCTTTACTCAGACGTAAGGCCCCTTTTATCCCATACGGCTCACTCCCTGGTATGTGAGTCTTGGAGACCAACTTCCTGTGGGACGGGCTTGCTTCCCTCCCGAGGTCTGGAGAGAAAGTTTGTAGACTTCGGGGCCAAAAGTGAGCCTCGGGGGGGGGGGGCTTTTAGGTCCTTCCATACCACGAGATCTTTCCTCCCGATGCAACCCGCGTTTTAATCGAGTTGAAATCAAGGTCTTCTTGGCTGGATTGCGGCTTCCCCACCCACCCCTTTAAAAAAAAGAAAGAAAACGTCGCAGTCCTCAACCCGAGACATCAAACATCCATGCCGAGATTGCCCGTGTACGTTGTAGACAGACTAGCGGCTTTCTAAGGTCCCCGGTGGGGCCCGAGTGGCGTGGCGGATGAGTGTGCCTAGATCTAGTTTTATCTTATAGGCACCGGATGAAAGGAAAGAGGAAAAGAGACGGCGCAGCGTCGGCGGGAGGGGGGGGGACCGAGCAGGGGAGGAGAAGCGAAGGCTGTGTCTAGAGCTAGTGTTACCTTGTAAAAGAAGACAGGCGATCGTTCAGAGCTTGTCATTTTCTTGAGTTCCTCAAACCGGGGGATTCCGATTTACCACCACTGGGGCGCGTTGGGACGAGGGAAGGCTTGTTTTTAATTAACGTCCGACGGCATTGCTTCCCCCCTCTGTCCTCTCTCTCCCCCGCCCTCTCTCTGTATCGTTTTTAATTTTGCTCCGAGAGGGTTTTCCGAGGACGGAATTGTTTAACAGGCAGGGAATTGTTCGGGATTTCCTTCCTTCCTTCCTTCCTTCCTTCCTTCCATCCTTCCTTCCTTCCTAAACAAGGCTTTAAAACTTGGCACAACGTATAAGAAACAAACTCACGTTGCCTCGGGAACGGAAAGGAAGTTTCCTCAAACTTGTGACTGCGCTGTCCAGGCTTTAAAACTTGGCAGAACCTATAAGAAACAAACTCACGTTGCCTCGGGAACGGAAAGGAAGTTTCCTCAAACTTGTGACTGCGCTGTCCAGTGTCTCCTCCACATCCTTCTTTGTTTCCTTCACCCGCCCCCGGCTCAGATCTGGAGAAAATGCCCGATCGGTAATATCTAGGGGTTTGGGGGTTTTCCCCCCAAGCCCACTCTGGTTACTTCGAACTCGTTGGGATGTGGATCTCTGATTGCCCATGGGAAGGAAGGTAAAGGACTGGCGGTTGGTAGCCCCAAACCAGAACGTCGAGGCTTGGGAAGAATAAGGCGTTAGTAAATATAGAGGATGCATAATCTCTTTCCAGCAGGGTGGTGACAAATGGGAGCGTTAAATGGCCACGTTCCCTATTCTCTCTCTCCCCCCCCTCCCCTTTTCCCAGCCTTCTCCTGCAATCAGTTTTTGGTAAATGAAAGTTCTGGATGTGAATAAATGTTCACACTGAAACTTTTGCAGACCTATATACAGTTCTATTGAAACCAGTGCGATGAAATCCCAGGAGATGAGGGGAAATGTTCAGCTTTCCGCTTCTCCCAAAACACCTCGAATAATGCCTCTCTTTCAATATACTGTACCTCTCAGCTCCGTGTGCTTTTTGGAATAAGTGGCTCAACGCCATTGGAAACGACTCCGCAATAACGGAGCTCCCGGCTGCAAAACTCGTAGGATCCTGATCGCTGTGTCTCTTGGGAAAATTCATGAAGACCATACAGTCAGAAAGATACCAACTTTCTCTCATAAACATGTTTTGGGGATAGTACGAATACGTTTTGACCTGCTTAATTAGAGGACATATCTTTTAAAATAATAATAATTATTATTAAACTGTGTATGACCTGCATTTGTTTTGGGGGGAGGGAGTTGTAGACCGTCTGTCTCTTAAAAAAATTAATCAGGGCGGATTACAACAGATTAATAAATAGAAAGCAATAAAAAAGTCCTACCCAGAAGTACGGGCAACAACCCAACTCTTTATTATTTTTTATTTTTTTGAGTCGGAAAAGAGATCAGAAGGAACCCCCGGTTTCCGCAGGCAAACATCCACTCGTGAGGAGACCTTCGCCCCCACCGTCACCCCCACCCCTAGCTTCTGCACCGACAGCCGTCCAGAGCCACTGGCCACCTCGGGCTTGACTTTCCCTCCTTCTTTTCTTTCCTCGCTCTTTCCAAAGTGAGCTCCATCAGCCGCATTTTGAGAAGCAAATTTGGGAAAGGCGAAGAAGAAGAAGCCGAGCTGGAGAGGAAGGAGGTGGAAGAAAGCGAGAAGAAAGCCAAGCACAGCATCGACGGCATCCTCAGCGAAAGAGGTAAAGAGAGACGCTTCCCCCCCCGCCGCCCCCCCAATTCCTCTGAGTCTGACGTGCTGTTGGTTAAGGGCGATGCGAAGACGTGGCGAAGGTCGATCAGGGCGCTTGGCTGGCTTGCTGGCAAGGCAGACGCTCTCTAGTTCAGAGGACCCGTCCGTCGTGTTAGCGAGGAAAATCTGGGTGCAGGTTTGGGTCAGCCGGAAGGGCAAGCGAGGCTGGCCGCCGATACTCTAGATTTGTTTGCAAGAAGTAGAGTGTGGGGGCAAAGGGGAGGGAGAAGAAAGAGATTCATTGGGAGAACTTCCGACGGGCACCGTCGGTGGGTCTTCTCTCTGTCCTTGCTCTCGGTGGGGGCTGGAGGACTTTTGAAGAGGGCTTGGAGAGGAGAGCAGATGGTCTTGACGATGGCAGAAGGCTAAGCCCCGTTGCGATTGCAAACATGACCACTTGGGTTTGTGTGAGACCTTTGCGCGGGGGCTTGTGGTGGACGCAAGGAGCCACGAGCGACAGGATTCCTTGTCTTCGTCCTTCGGCACATACTGTATGTCTCGGTCTGATCTCGCTTTACCGGCAGGGCAGACTCCCTGCTCCTCGATAAAACAGGTGTCTCTGGAAGTTTGGCAGAAAACGGTGGTGCCTGGATTTGACTTTAGCTGAAATTACCCTTTAACTGCGACTGTTTTGATCATTCCCCGTGGCCTCAAGAAAGCAAAGCCCTTCCCTAGACTAGGAAGACACTGAACTCTGAGGTGGTGGTGAACAGAATTTCTTTCCATGGCAGCAGGGTCACCCGCTTTTCTTTCAATATTAGACCCCAATCAACAAGTCCGGTCAATATTTTTGGTTCTCTCTTCCGTGACTTTCTCCCGACAGATTTGAGACAGATTTTCCTGGGCTGCGCTTGTGATGTAAACTGAGCAATAGCGACCTTTGCTAATTTTCTGTATGTCGGGCAGATGACAAAAGCCGGCATCCCTAACAAGAAGCAGGGCCTGTTCTACCGTCCAGTCAAACGGTGCCTATTAACATCTCCAGCGAGAATTAGTTGGCCACAACCTCGCTCGTGTGAAAAAAACGTGCTTTCCAGGTCCCATTGAAGTCAATGGGCTTTGAGAGGCGCAGATGGGAGCGGCAAGACCATTGAGGTGCTGTTTGGTTCCGTAGACCAGCGTTGCACTCCATAGATGTTCAGAACCTCAGGCTGCAGACCTAAAGGGATACCAGAGGGGATTCCCTATTGAAGCCCACTGGGGCTTCTTTCCCAGCAGACAGGATCGGGGTGTAAATATAAGCTGGCAAATCTAACTTTAACTATTGCGCAGGCTTATTCAGAAGCAGACTCCACTGAGTTATATCCATGGTTCTTCTAGGGAAGTATGTTGAAGATTGCCACCAGTCTTTCAGCTCACAGGAGATGGAAGGAAGAAGACTACTTGTACTTAGTAGGACTTCTTTGTCTGCTTTCTCCACCGGCAGTGGTAGGCAGTAAGGTCTGTGCAATCTGTTACAAAGCTATGCGTTGCAGTCCGATTCTCACTGTCTGGAGCTCAGCCTCACTGAAAACTCAGTGAAAATGATTTGACACGTGTAGGATTGCTCCATTTTTTTTTTTAAAAAAAAACCACTTCTCCCCACCATAAATATTTTAGAACCGGCATGATATTGTGTTTAGATGCAAGACGGGTTGTGCGCAAAAGAGGCTGACAGTAATTCTAAACACATTTTGTTTCTGGGATTCAGTCCCATTGAACGTAATGGGACTACCTTTCGAGTAAATGTACCTAAAATTGCTCGAGATACCGCCCGGAATTCAGCGGTCCTTTGCTCCCACGCTTGGCACCTTGCCCAAAGGGAGCGATCCTGTGCGCACGGTGCCTTGGGGATACGGCCATTTCGTGGGGACCAGGAAGTAGACGTGGATGGTAAAGCGGAGGGAGATCCACAGTCGGCGCCGACTATCGAGCCAGCTGGCCCAGAGACAGAAGCGAAACATAACCCAAACAGAAGAATCGGTGGAGCAAACCCGGATGTTTGAAATTCCTGACCCGATTTTGTGTATTGTCTCGACCACTAAGGAGAAAAGAAAAAGAGATAAAGGACAGGCGGGCTTGAGGTGGTGGTGGTGGTAAGAAAACCTGCGGACCCTTCAGCTCAGAATTCAAGTCCCATAATAGACTTATGGATTGGCGTAATAAAATTGGCCCAGGAAAAGTATAAGTAGATCGGGTTCTGCCTTTCCCTTCTAGTTGGCCTAATAACGAAGCCCCACGTTGTGCTTTGCTTGTCGATCAGCCCAGCGGCCTCTTGTGTGTTCTGTCCTGTTTGTCTGAACGGCCAAGCGGGAGAAAATCGAGTCACGTCTTGGCCGTGCTCTTTGTGAAGAAATGGCTTGCCGTCCTGCTGAGCCGAACCGAAGGAACGCAGAGTTTTGAACTTCATGATCACCAGAAAACGCGTGTTTAGGTGGACCGAGAAGAAGGCAAGGGTGGGATTTTTCCTCTCTTGTCCTTCTCCTCAGAGCCCCGCCTTCGCATCTCTCAGTATTCCGCCGACCTTACTTGTGAAGAGTTCGCAATCTGGGCAGAGAGGCTCCCAGTGGAAGGGGAGGGGGAGGAGAGGGTGGGGAGGGGTGGGGGAGAGGGAGGTTTGTTNGGCTGTTTAGTCCCATCCCTTCTGTGTCCTTAAATCGGCGCAGTATTTTGGGTTAGTCAAGCTGAAGTCATTAAATAAAAAGGAACGGGGGAGGGGGTGAAGAGAGGGGGGGAAGTCCTGGAGAGAAGGTCGCGATCCTGCCCTTTTCCCCAAGGGCTTCAAGTCAAATAGAGAGTGTGTCAATAAAGGAAAGTAAGAGACTGAGCTGCTGGAAAAGCCGTTTGTTCCCGGTGCTAGTCGATCTTGTTTCTAAGGGAACCTGTTTAAGGTTTAGGTGCTGGTACCTCTGAAGTACAGATAGACACCGAGAGAAAGCCTGTTGCTTTTCAAAGTAGTCCGATGAGTCTGATTTCCAGAGCTTCTCAGTTTATACTGACAATAGCTAGGACAGTGGTCAGGGGACAGGGGGAAATTACCCCAAATGGGGTAAAAATGAAAATCCTGGGGGTAATGAGGATGAGCAGAGCCCCAATATTGATGCTCTCATATCCAATATGAAGCAACATCATTTCTCCAAAACCTGAAGTTTCAAGTAAGTTGAAGCTTTCAAAGTAATTTTGAACAGATTCAATAAGATTTTGAATTCAAATAATGTATGATTTCCTTCCTTTCAAATCAAGGGGGTAATGTCGGTGTATATAATTTTTTTTTTTGGGGGGGGTAAAAGGTTAAAAAGTTCCCTCACCCCTGAGCTAGGAGAATCAGAGGGAGGGAGGGAGGTGTTTATACAGTGGAGTTATTATACAGTTTGCTGAGGAATAAGTCAATGAAGTTCCATGACATTTGCAACTGTGCAGGTACACGTAAATACAGTATGCAATTTTAATGAATTTCAGAGACATACTATGAAGTAATATTAAAATTTTTACACATAGACGGTAACTTGATGAAGAAATAGTCTAGGGTTACAACTATGCAGGTACACGTAAATACAGTATGCAGTTTTAATGAATTTCAGAGACATACTACGAAGTAATTTTAAATTTTTACAAATAGATGGTAACTTGATGAAGAAATAGTCTAGGGTTGTGAGTCTATTGGGGCTTTTAGATTCTTCTTGTTTTCTTTCCTGAGAAGTAAAGTCCTACCTCAGCAGGATTTGCTCCACCTTAAGTATACATAAGTTTATTGCTTTTCTTCAAACAACTAGGATTGACTTCCAAGCAAATGCATTTTAGACCGTGGTGTAAGAGATTTTAATTCATTTGCAAGAGGGGCTGCTTTAGAGACAAAAATCCATGTTGGGGGTTCCACCTAAGTTATGGACAAATCCTCTTCTCACGTTGCCTGCTGTTGATAGGATGGCTTGGTTTTCCAAGACCTTATTGCCTGCCTTGGCAGACCGGCTGCTGCCAGTGCGGGGGTGAGTTGTTGTTTGAGGTTCCCTTAGCCCTCCTCCTCCTCTCCCTCCTCCCAAGCTTGCCCTGCACATCCACCATAGGCCCTGGAGAACAGGAGACAAAAGTACCAAATGAGCTGGTCAAACATTTGTACAACTTTTCCAGCTTTTACAAAGAAGGCCTTCTATACACAATCTACACTTGGAGATGAACTTGGAAAACAAAGAGGGGAGAGTCCATTGAAACTCACACTTTAGCTTTGGCCAGACAAAGGTTCAGCTAGCAGCAGCTTGATGTGGACAAAAGAAGGCAACCTTTTTATAATTCAAGGAGAAAAGAAGAGAAAACAGGCTCCACAATAGGCCCAGAAAAGACATTATGGGCTTGCAATGAGGGATGAATTATTCAATGAGCCCCAATAGCCAATGCTCAGAGGAGTTTTATGGACTCTCCACCGTGGAAAAAAGTGGCTGTTTTCACCTACAAAATGTTTCTAGCCTTTCTAGACGGCTAGAGATGCCGACAGCCATTCAGGAGAGACAACTGAAACCATTCTTTAAGCCTATAGTATCCCTCTGCATTGTAAAGGAAAAGGCAGGGGAGGGTGGGGGAGAGCACCCAGAAGCCTAGGAAGGATTTAAGGAGAGCTGCATCTTCACAGTGTTTTTAAAACTATGGAAAATGGCACAAATTTGCATGAGGAAAAACAATGTCGGCAGGTTTGACCATTTATTTTAATCTTTTGAAGGCAGATTGATCACTGATCAGTTGGCCTTGTCGCTTGTACTGAATATGCATTTCTGCACAGCAAATCTTCATGGTGGAATAAAATTTGTTGGACCAATGATGGTCTAAAGATTCTCAGAAATGGTTCCTAGTTATAGAGTTTGATCTGGGCTTGTGAAACAGAAACTAGTTGAAAGGTAATGCTGCATTTACACTACTTTACTCCTGTAACATTGTGATCTCGAGCACAGCTATTTATTTGACTGATTTGAATCTAAATTT